GACGAATCGAAAAAATACCTGTAAGGCCGCACCGGCAACCCTCCGGGATAGTTCCCCGTCGCTAACCCCTTGTAACGTTTCACGCTCAGCGGCCGCACATAGTAGGGTCATATCCGCTGCGGCCTGCTCGCTGTGTTGCAACAGGTTATACCCCCCCGGGATCAGAATTCGACGGTTGGATCTACCTACCGTCATCCCTACACGGGCCGAACCCCGCGTTGACGCTTTTGCATCTGCCTGGGCGACCTCAGGGCCCGCCCTCTCGGCATCATCGTCCGCCTCCCCAACGGCAGCCGACGAGCTGCTCTCCGGAATGCGTGTTGACCTGGCGTCGAGAACGGCCCCCCTATGAGGAGCCAACCTCCCGGAAAGGATGGCATCCGCCATAAAAACTGGCCTTGACTCTCGACGGGGCTCGCTCGCCCCCTCATCTGCCATGGCTATCCCCTTGCCGGTTATCAACCGACGTCTTTTTCTTTCCGACGTCTCCTCGCTCTTAGAAGTCTCCTCCACAGCCGAGGGGATGGTGTCGAAGGAGTCGCTCCCCTCGCGGACGCCGCCACAGGCAGCGGTTGAGGAATCTCCGCGGCACCATCACTGGGCGAGCCGCAGAGAATGTATCCATCTTCAGAATCAGTACCCGCCCCAGGTAAGATGACGACGCTCTTTTTCTTCTTCTTAGGGGCGCTCCGACCTGCCAACGCGAATAAGTCATAACAAATACGTAGGGAATCCCCAAACCGTAGCCAAAGAATTACCTGACGGGCCGTACTGCCGAAGAAATGCAGCCCAGGTACGGCACTCCTCCGCATAGGGTATTATTCTTTCCACCCACGATTTAATGTCATCAACAAGCTGGGGTGGAGAAGCCCTCGCTGCGAATAAAAAAGAGGAAAGAAAAACAAAGGTCACTATGGCCGTATGGTCGAAGGCGCAAGCAGCACTAAAATCTACAAGTAGAAATACTTACATTCTGGATTCCATCTTTCCGGGAACCCCTCGGGATTGACACCAGGTGCTCCGTCCTGATGTAGAAATATTTATGCCAAAAGCGGCGGTTGGGCTTATCATCGGCTTTAACGACCAAGCCCTTTGCGCCACGACCTTTCAACTGCAGCATGGTACCCCTCAGGTAACCAACGCTGAACAACTGTAAGAGGTGGTGGACCGAGACGCTGCACCCGGCCCTGGCCGCATAAGTGGTCATGATACGGCACACCTTCAAAGTATAGGGAGTGAGCTGGGCCGGACACACATTGTAAAAACGGCAAAGCTCCTCCACCAGAGGGTAGACTGGAAGGGCGTAACCGATCAAGAACGGGTACTCATAGAAGGTGCAATATCCAGGCCGGTGCACATTGACATAATCCGTCCCGGCCGAAACCATTTCCACGTGGTCCGGAATATGGTACGTCTCTCGCAGATCATCTAAATGGGATTGTAGTAAAACGCTGTGCTCCCAGGGAAGATCAGGGCTTTTAGTTGGAAAATCCCTGCGAACGTGCGTCTCCTTCGGAAGGACATTGTCTACGCTGAGAGGAACAAGGGCCTTCTCCGCCTTTTCCCCTTCACCACCGGAAGATGGCGGAACCCTAGACGGGGCATTATCTTTGGCCTTTTTATTATTCTGTCCGTGTTTTGTCATGATTATGCTACTTGAGAAACGAAGCACTAACGATAGGAAGTGTGGTTTCAACAGAAGTGGGAGAGTCCCTCACGAAATAACGGTTACAAGAAAGGAAGGCAAAGGAGTGTATCAGAAAATACTTTTCAGCGGCTTGAAAGTGGAATCAGATCAAACCTCTCTCATACTTATAAGGATAAGTTGCACAGGAATCGAAGAGTCATGATTCAAAACGTGCGCCGGAAACCAAAACGTCACTTCATCCTCTGAACCGCCTCGGGGGCAAATATAATGATGATGCATACAGGCGATGACATCATTCCAAAAAGGAAGCCACGCGTCAGCGGCTCAACAACGTCATATGTTTCACTTCATTCATATTGCCGCCCCTGGTCGAGGTCAAATTCTCCTAAGCCGAGGTTCGTATTTCCGCCCGTCAGAGACGCCCATCGAACGCGTCTCCAACGAGCGGAGGGACTAACTGTATAGGGTCAAATTTGACCCTCAGTATCTCTACGCCAGTGGGTACGCCCAATGAGTGTACGCCGACCAACGTAGCGGGTACGACTCGGCCGTGAGGACAAAAGCGACATCGTTTAGAACTCAGCGTCCACGATAGGGAGACGTTACCTATTTTTGTAACTTTTTGATTCTTTCGAGGAAGGTCTCCTATTATATAAAGGAGACCTCCACATTGTAAAAGGGGGATCTGATCTAATACAACTCTCTCATTTTTCTGGCTTTCTCTCTCTATATCTCTACCTCTAACGAAAATATCTTATTGGTAAACATTATCACTTTGCAATATCAGATCTACAACAATATTATCATCTTTGCATCTCTAGGCTTATTATATTTGATTACGATTTACCCCTTTTCTATTTTTGATTGTTTTATCGCTTACAAAGTATATCGTTAACTTTTGAGCCAAACAACTCCCTCCGTCCACTTTTACTTGGCATATATACTAAAAATAGATTTTTAGTTTTACTTGTCACTTTACGCATATCAAGAGAAGACAAATTTTTTTTCTGTTATACCCACAGTATTTATTACTCATTTCAAATTGTTTTCTAAAATCCAATAAAATATGCATCAATTAATATGGGTATCATGCTAAATTAGTTTATTAATTCTTAAAGATCGTGAAAAGTCAAAACGTACCAAGTAAAAGTGGACGAGGGATTATTGTGCAAATGGTATAAACATGAAATTGATGGCATGGCAGACCCGAGAAAGACGGACTTAATTGTGAGCGCCACTAGTTTCACTACTACATTTATAAGCTTTAACTTCTTGTGTTTATTTGTCTTCATCCTGCTTAGTGGAAAATGTGGCCCCTTCGGTGAAACGTTGCGACTCCTAAGTACTCTTAAGATATACTTCTTCCGGTTCAAAATAAGTGATTTTTTGGATGTTTTCACACATATTAAAAAATTTACCTTTTAGTATTAATTAGCAATAGAATTGACCATATTAACCTTTACTATCTCACATAAACATTCCTAACACATATTCCAACACTATTTACTCCAAGGACAATATAGGAAAAAAATAATTAATTCATTCTTGAAATCTGAAAAAATCACTTATTTTGGACCGGAGGAGTATATATATATATATATTCACATTCAAGAAGAAAACAAAAATTCCTACAGCTTTTAAAAGGTCACAGGAGCTTCGTCGCCTAAATTTTCTGCAAACTATCTAAATATTTCCTTTACAAAAATTAAATAAAATCGTCAACATGAGAAAAAGAAATTAAGAAAAAAATCAAAGCCCTCTTTCCTGAAGTATATCGTATTTACTTCTCTTCTAATTTTACCATACAACTAGAAGTAAATCATTAAGACTTACACTAACTGCAATAAACAAAACAATCTCTCCCTCTCTCTCTTTCTGTTAGATCAAAAAGTATTAAGCCTTTTTGTTAAACTAATTAATGATAAATGAAGAATGAATCTTAGTTAAAAATAATAAATTCTAGATCAAAGAATGTAGGAAATTGGTAAGATGAACAACACGTTTGTATTCAATAAATGCGAATAAATATGATAACATAAACATGCAGTAAATGTAGATAATGACAATAAATGTAATAAGAAAGAATCTATCACCCAATTATTATATGATTTGGATGCTTCTTTCTCCTGAGAGCAACGTGGAAAGAAGAGAAGTGAAGATGGTTATCGAATCTTTGGATCTTGTGAACAAAGATCAAATAGTGTGCACTTGAATAAGATAAAAACAAGACAACTTTTGTATATTCTCTCAAGTCAACCTTTTCAATGTATTTTTTATCAGAAAGTGAAGATCCCCCTTTGTTCTTTCTCCCTTCCTATTTATAAGGGGTATTTCCAAGAAACCCTAAAAAGTACAAAATAAGAAATATTCCTTATGCCTATTCCTAATCTATCTTTCCGTTATCTCTTTATTCCAGTTACTCGTCCCCGACAATAACCTTCTTGAGGACGGCCTCCCACTATTACGCCGTGGTCGACCTCATTCTCGATCTTGTTTATCTGTCGCTACCAGGTCATCAAATTTAGACCAATACACCTCCGTCTCCTGTTCAACCTACTACTTTCGAACTTGGAAGCACTTATGCTGTAGGTGTTATATTTTTTACTTCCCTTTTGTACCTCCATCTCTTATCCTCTTAGTCCTTAGAGTAACCAATGGTAGAACCTGAAATGCATTTTTGAAATTTTAGAATTGTGTAATAGCCATACAAACTATCAGTAGATGTACTACAACTTGTTCCTATCAAATTCAAGCTGAAATTATAAAAATTGGATGTCGTTAGGCTAAAAGGGCTTTAATTAACTTAAGACGGAATACCTGCTCCCTAGTCCATTTTATGAATATTTCTCCGATGTTTAACAGGGAAAATGACACTGTATAGCCGCTATCAAAATAATAGATGAGGAAATGTATATTTTTGTGTGTGTGTGTATATATATTCTATATGTTATAAGCGAAAAATTTAAAAAATTTATACACATTTTCGACTACCAAATGTAAATAGTTTCTGACGCAAGCTAAAAGTGAAAAAAGCTCATGTTAATATGTAGACAATATGAAGAATTAACCCAAATAGCCGTCCATCAAACCACTTTAACTAAAAATAGATGATGGAGGTATAATACATGTATAATTTATGTATTATATATGTATAATTGTGTAAAATCAATATATAACTATGTATATGGCTAGAAAAAGTAAACAATGACTATGGACGGCTATTTTGTGTAAAGATCCCCAGACAATATTGATCCGTTAGTTAAGACATTAATATGGGCTGGAAAATATGGGCTTGCGTGGATTACTCATGGGCTACTGCCCATGTAACACCGAGAGCGTACCAATCACGAGATCAACGCGGTCCACTACTCCACTATAAAACAACATACATTATACGTTACAAAGAAGGGTTCAAAATTCAAAACAGCTTCTCAGAAAAGGAAGAGATGGCGGGAAACGAATCTCAGAAGCAATTCCTAACTCTAATCCGCGACTTCGCATCTGAAAAATCTCAAGGAGGTTAGTTTTTCTTCTTCATTTCTTCCAATAGAACACTTTTGAAATTTTTTCAATTGATGATTCAACGTATTTGATAACTGGAATTTGAAACAACTTAAAATAGATTTTGTAAGCTAATACTTCGGAATTTCAGAGCGAAGAATAACAAACCTGAAGAAACGAAGTCAAGAGCTTCAATCGGAGCTTGAAATTGCAAACACTGAGGTTGAAAAGGCAAAACATCAGAAGGAGACTGCTGACCAAGAGCTCAAAGGCTACGAAGTCGAATTGGCCAGGAATGAATCTGCTATTCAAACCCTAGAGGTTCTCAGTCTCATTCGTATTTGTATATAAGGTTACGTTTTTTGTTAACGTTTTAAGCTTATGGAAACATATTTAACTAGTTGAAATTTTAACTCCTGAAAAATACTTTTTGCGATTTTCTAAGAGATCCGTTTCAATTACGTTCTAGGAAAGGATCGTTTTTATTCAAGATGAATTAGCAGCCTACGGATCTGATGTAGAGGTTCTTAAGGTAAAGACGAATTTGAGGTTATGTTCTCCTTTAAGGCGCACTTAGTGCTCTGTTAGCTTGTAATGATTGTTGATGTTTGTAATTGTTTATATCAGATTTGTATTTGTACTTATTTATATTTGTAAATTTGAACATTATTTTATTGTATTGGCTTGCTAATAATGACGCTGCTTCTTCTTATGGATTCGTTGGTCAATTGATGATATCTGAACTGTGAATAGAACAAAGAAGCAGAAACTCGGTAATTAATTACATGCTTTCTTCAGTTAACCTCTCAACACTTTTTGTTCTATCACAATCACTTTGACTAAGTAGAAAATGTATCTTTAACTCAATTTAGCGTTGTGAAACGAATATCTCATTGAAATTCTCCTTCTAATTGTACCAATCGTTGCTTATGCAGAGATGACTTCATTGATAAAATGTTGGATCTTAACGCACAGATAAGGTACAGTTTGTTGAATTAAGTAATGGTAGTGTTCACTTCTATTGTGTGTCCTTAATAAGCAGTAATCTTTAACTATTGAAATGACTGTATGCGGTCAGGTTAGTTAGCTAGCTAGTTTGATAGTTTTTCGCAAAAATTGTCAATAAGGTTTAAAGCTCCAATGCTATAGCTTTTTTCAAACATTCAATAGCTAAGTACAGACAGAGAGATAAAATTCTCTTGTCAATCCATGCTGATGTTAGAAGTTAACTAAGTAATTGTTCTTCTTTTATGTAATTTGCATTTACACATACCTGGCCCAAGTAATACTTACTTGGCATTGCTTGGCTGCCGCTCTTATTATAGAAGATCTAATTTGCATTTATACATACCATGGCCTAAGTAATACCGCATGGCATTGCTCTAACGGCTGATTCAGTTTGTAATGCTTGAAGATTAAAAATCATCTATCTATATTGTTGTTTAGTCATGCTTATAATTTTTCATGTCAAGATTACTAGCAACAAGTAATTATGCTTTGGGGAGTTATCATAGCCGTTAAATGAGAAAGAGAAGCACTTGACTTTCTGCTTTAAAATCTACTTTTACAATGATTATGTGGTTCTTTTTTTTTTTTTTGCTTTTCAAAATAATTTGGTGATATTGTATGGTAACAGAAACAAAGACTTTTTGATTAAGCTTCCAGTCGTCTAGCCCATATTGTATCTCTATAGTTTAGTTCTGATATCAGAACTATGTCAATTGTATAAACTGGGTGTGATCAAGCAGTCTTAGCGCAGATTTAGCACGTATTCCCTCCTGTCGCAGTCATGCACATTAGTTGTTCTACTGACATAGTCTAGACATGGAGAGTCCAATACACAGTAAATGTTCTCCACTGTTGTGGTAGTATTTAAATCCCTGTTAGTGTTTCTTTAAATTCGCAGAAAAAAACTGTTATCTAGTGCCATTCTGGCGAGGGCACTTTATATCTCAAATGTTGTAATCAAAGTGACTAGTTAGCTCGACCACAGAAGATATTGTGGCCAGAGATAATTCTATCTGTTTCTGTTCTAACTTTGAGGCTTATTCATTTTGATTTTGTGACTACACTATATTGAGATCTAGCTGACCTGCTGTTAAATGGCTTAACTTTTTCTACTGAACTGGATACAGGAAATTCCATGAGACAAGAGCCTCTATATTCCAAAATTATAATTGCAGTGAGTCAGCATCAAAGCCTGGTGTGTTATCGCACATAGATAAGCGCTCTTCTTTTTGTGATGTGTTGGGGTGTTTCTTGTATTATATGGATGTTCAAATTTAAATACTTCAAAATTCTATTGTTGCTTCTACACAAAGCTTCTTCAAGCTGATAAAGAATTGTTTTGCACCTCCACAAGCAGGTCCAGCAAAAGCCAAAGCAGAAGATGCTGAAGCTGTCAAGAGAGACCTCCAGAATAAGCTGGCTCAGATAGTTTCCCAGATCACTAAGGAAGAAGAGGAATACCAAGTTGAACAGAATATTCATAGGCAGGCAAGTTATTATGTTTTTGTTATGCTTGTCTGTTCTCATTTCCTTTCTTCTGTTGCTGTATGTCTGGTTATTAGTATTTAGAGAAACAAGTACATCAAGCTGTGTGTTGTTTTTCAGCTTGAAGAGGAGTTGAGTATTTTGGAAAAGAAAGCATCACTGATAGAGGGAATCTCAAAAGAAAATATGGAAATGCAGGAGTTAGCCAGATATCCTTAAATTGTTATTGTTTGGAGTCCTGCTAATTATAGCTAATTGTTTACTAGGTTCAACTCATTGGTGGAAAGAGAAATGAGTCGACAGTGGATCTCAAAATTTTAAGAGATGTTCCACTTTTCTGCAAAAATTATCTTATTCTATTACTAAGAAATTCTTTCACACCTCAAAATGATACTTATGGCTGTAGCACCCATGCTTTAGATTCATCAACAATTATTGTATCCTTGACTGTGGAAGCAAGCAGACTTCTGAATTGGAAAACAGATGTGCTTCCCTTGGTGATGAGCTACAAAAGAGGTCGGTGTGTCCCAGTTGCCATAGGGACAACACAGAGGCATTAGGTGAAATTGTTCAAGCAGGCAATGGAAATTAGCTTCTTGCTAGTAGTCCCGGACATTATGCTGATGATAGTCAAAAGCAGGACGTTGAGGTGCTTACATATCTGCTCTTATGTCTTCCACTGGATTTACTTTTGGCTAAGCTTTGCTCTACTATAGATAGGGCTAGTTTGCATAACTGACATTCCTAGTTTTTCTACTCACTTCCTCTATACTTCCAAAGAACAAATGTAATGAAAGCTGTAAAATGAAAACATACTTTTATCACGAGGATAGTAGCAATTCTGTTCCTTCAGCTGTCTCTGGTATTTCTTAAAAAAAAAAGGTTAAATGTACTTGCCTCTGATCTCTAATAAAATTGTTGTCGCCGCCAATGTTCCACCTCCCATTGTTCGTGTTACAGGGGGCTTGAAAGTAAATCCACCAGCTTTTTTGAAGGATCGGAAGCGATTGAGTTGTAAGAATATGAATTTTTTAGTTCCTGTTTGCACACATGTTGGTCCTTATATATCCCTCACAATCAATGATAAGAGTGGAGATCTAGCATCTCTACTAGCCTTGCCCTGTATCTGGCTTCCTGCCAACATGTGCTCAACTTTAGAACTTTGTAATATCAGCTTTGTAAATTGACATTCAAAAAGTCATCCATAATCAGCTTGAGAGCCAAGAGACTACAGTGAACAGTGAGTCAGATACTTACATTTTTACTAGGAATCGGGGGGTTCACTGAAGGAGGAAATGAGACCGGACTTGAACGGGCACACTTTTGATCTTCAACATGTATAGAGAATAAAACAGTGACGGACGGATGTTCAGAGAACTTGCTTTCATTGCGGAAATAGGGAAAGCCTCTAAATAGTGTCGGGTTTCTTCATTCTTAGGGCTCGAATCTGAAATCTTTTATTAAAGATAGATGGACCATATCCATCCGACCACACCTCTTGGTGGTAAGGAATCCATTGTTGATCCCATTCTCGGAGGCTTCCCAAAATATACCCTATTACTTCATTAATGCAACAAGGGATTATCGATGGATATTTAAAAACCGACTAAACCATTGAACCGTACTGCATCGAATGATTTTTAGGTTTCATTTAATAAAATTGTAGTTTTATATAAATCTATAATCGTATCGATAACTAGGGTGATTTTTATTTTATAAAAATAAACTGAAAAAATACCGGACCGTACCGAATAAATTTACATAGAAAAAATATATTTATATATTAAGTTTAAGAATAACAAAGCATTAAATTTTTCCTTGGGCCTTGATATTATGAAACGGTTACAAGCCACCAAGTAATTAAACTTAAAACCCTAATTCCCAAACCTATTATACTACTCCTATTGAAATTAAATTATTTCCAGCAATTCACTAGTAATACAAAAGATATTCTAGAAATTATGAGTAGCAAACTATAATATATTGAATATTTTCCTTTCGTATGAATTAAATTTATATTTTCGAATATTTAAGCTTTTATAGATTTTATTCTTGAGCCCCAACTTGCTTAATATTTTTTTCACTCGTGTGATTTATATTGTCTTTGCTTAGTTTTTTTACGTTGTTGTAGAATAGTTGATGGGTCTATACTCTGGTCATCTTTCATGTTTTCTTAATTCATCACCCTTTAAAATTTCTAGAAAGTTTTACTAAGTCCTGTAAAAGTGCTTATGTTATTGCATTCTGCTTCTACTTGTGACATTTAAATGACATTTTAAAAAAATACTGAAAATTAACCGAACCGTACCGATACCGAAGAGAAACCGACATGATTGGTACGATTTCTAAAAGTCTAATTTTGATTATACATAATATAATAACCGAAAAATTGGTATGATATAAATTTTATAAAATAACCAGTTGAACCGAACCATTGATACCCCTAAATGCAACTATTTCTTTTTGTTAAATAGTACTCCCTCTATTCTATTTTAGGGGGTAGCATTTTCTTTTTAATTAGTTGATAGTTTTCTTAAATTGAAAAAACTTCAACTTTACTCATAATGATAACTTTTTATAGTCGTACAAATATTATAGAATATTTAAAAAACATAAGTTGTAAATCTTACGGTCACACAAATATTATGATATGTTTAAGATCGAAAGTTTCAAAAAATATCTACTATTTTCTAAATTGCGTGCTCAATCAAACTAAATAAATGGAGTGGTAATTAGAGGTGGAGCCAGAATTTCAATTCTATGAGTTTTGGATTCTAGAACAATAATTGCTACTAGATTCCAAATTTAATATGTATACATATTTAATGAATTTTTCGATAAAAATACATTATTTGAACAAAAGTTATTGTGTTCGGTCCAATCCGTAACTCGATTTTTACCTCTGCCTCTGATAGTAATTTTTAAAGTAAATAACCATGTGAAATATGTTGACTTCGCCTTGTTTCGTGAAGCGCACATCAATAAGAATGCTTTCACGGCGATGTGCTTTTACCCCTTTTTTTTTTTTTTTTTTGGATTTTTACAAATACCCGATCATATTCATCGTTTACTTTTTTTTAGCTATATACATAAATTATACATTGATTGTTCACAATTATACACATATATACATAAATTATGCATATACTATACATCCACCAACTATTTTTGTTTAAGTGGTTAGATGAATGATTCTTTCTTCTTTTTCCGTCCAAATTATATTGGAGTAATATTCCTCAATTTTCACGTTATAGCTTCTAGTGTATGATTGTACTGCCTCTACCCTAGTATTTTTTCTGGTTAACGCCACTTGCAGGCAGTAGCTTTCAAACTTTAATATGCAAAAACATTTTGGTCCGTAGAGAAATTACACTCTCCTTGTGACAAAACCAATGACAACACAGAAACATTGATAAATAAGACTTTTTGAGTCGGCTATTAGAGTTATTCATGTAGTTATAATATTTATTATCATTGCTTTCGCAAAAGGTATTTTTATTTTTATTTTATGAACAAGAGCATTTTCTGTAGTTCTGCAATTTATATATATTAGAATATTTTGTTTATAAGTTAAAGCAATTATTTAACGAGTCCTGCCGCATTTCACGATTAACATTTTATTCAAATATTAGCAAATATAATTAGGCATTTTAAATAATTTGAATTACCAAAGTAATATTAATGTTAGCGTAAAATATTTAATTAATTGGGATTTTAACGTTGTAAGGCACTAAATAAGAATTTAGTTCATAAATAACATTACTTTTGGTTTATTTAAAAATAGCAGATTTAATGACAATTGTATTACAAGAAGCTTACGAGTAATAGTTATTAGGTTTAGAAACTAAAAATACTGACCCTCAAATTAAGGGGATCACTTTTAATTCTCATCGGTTTATTTCCATTCACTTTCGTGATTACTGTATTGGTATAAATTTGGGCGTCTTGATAACTGCAGATAAACAGGGTCGAGGACGGGGTCGACTACGGCATAATAGCGAGGATCTTTAGAAGGATTATCTCTAAGAACGAGCAAATGGAGTAAAGAAGTAACGGTAGGATAGGTTTAGAAATAGACATAAGGAATATTCCTTTGGACATTCTTTATGTTGTACTTTTTAGGGTTTCTTGGGGATATCCCTTATAAATAGGAAGAGATAGAAAACAAAAAGGGATCTTCACTTTTTTTATAAGAGCACATTGTAAAAGGTTGACTATAAAGAATATACGAAAGTTGTCTTGTTCGCTGACTATCTTGTTCAAGCACACGTTGTTTAATCTTTGTTCACAAGATCCAAAGATTCCTTATCCATCCTCACTTCTCATCCTTCCACGTTGCTTTCAGGCGGAAGAATCATCCAAGTCATATACTAATATTTGGGTGATAAAATCCCTTTTATTACATTTATTGCGATTGTCTACATTTATTACATGTTCTTATTATAACATTAATTGACAATCATTGAATTGATATATACCCGATATTCATTGTTCTCAAACACTATCTATACCGCTGATGTCCTTAAGTATTAGGAGTCCGTTTGGATTGGCTTAAAAAAAGTGACTTTTAAGCACAAGTGCTTAAAAGCACTTTTTGAGTGGAGCTTGTTTTATAAATAAGCAGTTACGTGTTTGGATAAAAGTGCTGAAGCTGAAAAAAAATTGTTGAAGTGTTTGGCAAACAAGTGCTGGTAAGCACTTGATTATGTTAAAATGACTGAAATATCCTAAAAATTGTTAACACTATAAAAAAGACGATTTTATTATAATATTTTATTCTAAATTGATGCATATACAAATAATTTATAATTTAGTTCACTTTTAATTTAAGTTGATTACCAAAATATAAATTATTTATTTAAATAACATGCAATAATTAATTATTCGACCAAAAAATGATTTTTTGCTCATAACTTCAAATTCTAGGGTAACATGTAAACTCATAGAAAGATTTTGAGTTAGAATATAGTTTCATCAATTTAAAAAAGGAGGGATTCAATAGCTATTTTTTAAAAATGTTATGGAACCAGAAAAAAAAAACTAAAAGAACAATATTTGCAAAATATTAGAATCTATCAAACATTTTATTTATAAAGCTAGTGTTGCCTTTACGTTTAGGACATCAGCGAAATTGAAAGAGTTTGGAATATGAAGCAGAATGATTGAAAACAGCGATTAGATGACACAGGGATTTAATTAATAAGGGAAGGGTAGTTTTAGGGTTTAGAAAAGCATATTTACCGAAAGAAATATGATTACCTCGATAAGATATTCCCTTCATTCTTCCTCTATGTTGTCCTTATAAAAGAGGGGGATTCTAACAACCTTTCTAGTTATTTCGTTCTGAAACCATTAAAAGAACCCCCAATAATTTATTGGGCACTGTACGAAATATTTGAAATACAGGAAAGAAATACCATTCAGGTAATATTTCCAAAGGGGTTGCAAATGGATCTGCCGGTTCACCAATCATTGATGGTTCTAAAACGGCTAAGCCTACATTACATGCAATAGTACCTAGAATTACTACTGGAAAAATATATAAAAGATCATTGGGCCATGCGGGCTCTCCATAATAATTATGACCCATACCTTTAGCCAATTTAGCTCTTAATACAGGATCATTCAAGTCAGGTTTTTTTGTTATAAAAGGGATAGTAGGGTAAATTATTTGGTCAAACATAAGGAGCTTGTAAGCCAAAAAGCAATAAGTTGGGGTGGCCCAACTTATTGCTTTTGGCTTGTTTTGGATATTTTAACTTAAAAGTATTTGGCTTAAAAGCACTTTTATAATTCATCCAAACACTCAAATAAGTCCAAATGTGCTTTTAAGCTAGTTTGACCAACTTTTAAGCCCATCCAAACACCCTCTAGATCTAGAATTTATTATGTTTAACTAAGATTCACTCTCTATTTCATTATTAATTAGTTTAACAAAAAGCTTAACTCTTTTTTGTCAAGCAGTTTGGCACCGTCTGTGGGGAGGTTTTAGTTAAAATTTTAGTTTCTTCTAGATCATAAAGAAGGACAACCATCTTTTTCTCGTTTGCACGAACTAACAATGGCAGGAAAAGGAGATAAAAGACAGAAAGCAATAGTGGGTATCACTACCAACATCTTGAACACCATCAACGAGGATAACAAAGAAGACGAGGAGAATGTGACGCCGAGTGCTACACCCAGGCGGAGTGATTCTCCTCCTCCTCATGGAAGTGTAACCGCTTCAAGCAAAAGGGGAGCTTCCACGTCCACGGCTGAGGAAGCGCCACCAGCAGTGAAAAAATTACTGGAGGAGTGGCTGACAAGTACTCTAAATAACATACTCGACAAACCCGTTCAAAGGGCGAATAGAAAATGCTGCGCCAGCGGATACCACAACGACCACCGGCCAACAACCCGCTCCCCCAACAGGTAACACTCACACCGTTGTTGATGCAGGTAATGATGCACTTGCATCCATTCTAAAGAAAATGGAAGAAATGGAAAACAAGAACGAAGCACTCTGCGACCAGATGAGGGAACATCAAGA